ACAAATACCATTGGAAAACAAAGCGTTCAGATTCTTTCGAATACGGCATATTGTACTATTGTATGGACATTCCACCAAGAATTAGGTAACTATAGGGTCATGATTGGCGCTATCTTAAAATAGAAAATCGAAAGTTTTTTGGAAAAACTTTTTTTACTGTAACCCGACGTACTTTAAAAATAGGTCAAAATACACACGCGATGGAACTAAATATTTTTCAAAGTTTTGGGAATCTTTTGTCATCAAATTTATTGTTTCTAAGGTTATATTATGTTCAACGCTTTCTTTTAATTAAAATTATCTTTTTTTGAACAATAAAACGCAATTAGCGTTGCGTTTATTTATGTCTTCGAATGTTTTTTGCAGGTTGAATTAGGACTATGTTATTGTATTCCTTTCATAGTATATTATGCGTGACAGCCGTGGAAATGTGCATGCCGGTGATTTTGTTGTGGCAGTTTTTATATTATAAGCGTTCTCTTTTTACTAAACATATATTTTATACCCTATTTCCTCAATATTAAATTCTATGATGGAAAAATGCCATCGTTTCTGGAACACGTCATAACACATTTTAAAAATATTCTTTTGTTCTTTGATTTTTAACGGCGACAGCTTGATCGCACTCTGAATAACCTTTTTATATTTATTCAATTACGAATCACGCTGAGGTTCTCTTAAAGACAGGTTAAATAAGACATGGAACGTTTTTAAGAGTTATATCGAATGTCACTTTCGAATTCACCGTATTGGTCCTTTTTTGGTTCAAAGAATTCGAAGGAGTTGATTCGAAATCAATAAAAAATAGACCTCCAAAATGTTAAGGTCTTAATCCGAATGTTTAATGTATCACGTGCCCCAAAACCTTCGAAATAGGTGCCTAGCATAATCTTCAAGCAGCAAAAAAAAAAAAAAAATGAAAAATAATATAAAAAAATCTGTTTTTATAATAATTTATATTATTTTTACCCTAAGTAAAAATTCTATCTAATAGTACTTAATAATAAAATTACTTAGGAAAATTGACCCCAAATTTGTTTTTCAAGAAAGGGTTTTCTCCCAAGATTGCAATGTAATTTTTTGCACTCTATTGTAATTTATTTCATACCTCATTGATCTAGACCAGCAAAAATGTCCTTAAATAATTATTTGTTTATTAAATAAATTATTGTAAAGTATTTTTAGGCTAATTAAGAATTATTAGTTGTAATCACTGAACTATAAGATTTTAACAAAATCGTTTTTACCTTTTACGTAGGTTTCGATACAATTATATCCAAAGAAATTTTTACTACAGTAATCATTGTTTTTATTTTGTTATTCTTTGGCTAATGAGCACTATGATAGGTATTTCCAAGGCTTTGTGATTCGTGTTAACATCAAAGAAGACCCGGAAGTCTCAAATTAAAATGTGTATCTACACATTCAAAGTTCACTAACTCAAAATAAGGATTACCCTAGTATTGATATGTTTATATGAATGTTTGGTAACATGTTTAACGTAGTGATTTACTTTATTAAATGAAGATATTGTCCAGGAAATTTGTATTACAACTGGCTAATTATTTAACGCGCAACGATTAGTAGGTATAGGCAGGAATTATAGGAGACTTAGAATGACTAACCTCTACTGCTCTAAGCTTTTAATGCTTATAACTACTATATTAGTTACCTTAATTTTACTAATGGGATAATGTTAGAGTATTCAGATTTAGTTGTTGTTTCCTTGAATTCTTAATGAATTTCCACTTTTGCCGACCGAATAACTTTAAGACTCGTTAACCAATACATAATATTTAATACATTATACACCTAATGGTATTTTCCACTATAAGCACGGTAAGAATATTAATACATTAAAGTACTTTTGAAGTTTTACAATTCCGATAATCGCTCGTGTCATCAGCTGCCTTCATGCATTTATCAACGTTGCCGCTAATAATTTAAAACTTACCAGGCTACAAAGTTAAATTTTGTAAATTATTTCAAGGAAAAATATTACCATTCAAATATAAGCAACGTACCTATTATTTGTATTGTATTGGAAATGCCTCAAATGCATTTTGTTCAACAACATGTATATATTATCCAGCGTGGCAACATCCTCGTGCATTTATACAATATACAATACGAATAGACCGAACCATTGTGAACACTTGTCAATAAATTATAGTATGGTCATCTGTTTCAGCGCTTAATGGAACCCGAAATTAATTTATTAACATGACTTCTCCAGGAAAATGTCATTTGCGAGGGGAAAAAGGCTGAATTTATATATTTTACAACAGTCAATATTTTTAAAATGCTGTTAGGTTCAAAAATAAAGTTGATGATTTTTGGTGTTTTTTTTTAATTTACTGTAGGTACATAAAAACTGAAAATATTTTTATATTTATAGATCTTTAATATACATTGAAAAAAATTGTATTGAAGTTTGTTTTTTTACCATTACTTATTTTGTGGAAATAAGTGAAATAACGATTCAAATACTTGAGGATATTGTTTTAATTTTAGTATGAAATTTTGATATTTTGATATTTTAATACTGTATTGTAATTTTTTTATCAGTAGTACAAACAAGAAAATATTAAAAACCCTCTACAGACAAATCATTTTTATATTTATTATTCACATGAACTTCGTTATGGTAAAATTAAAACCCCGCAAAAGTATGCTTATATCAGCAACTATCGTGGATGTAATAAATAGTTTAAAAGTGGTTAATACATTTAAATGAAAATGCTTCGATGCAAATTTATGGATATAGAATTGATATAGAACTCGTTCGACGTCGCATTAAAATATAATATAAATTACTTCTCATTATTACCATTTTGTATTTTTTAAGTGCCTATTTATAACACCCACGACATCTTCTTGTAATAAATTTACTTAGTTGTTAGTTTATTGATTTTTTTTTTTTATTGTATTATATTTAAAAATAACAGATATTATAAAACGTTTATCACAGATTTTCAATAGGGATTAGTATTTTCACGTGGGATTGGTATTTTTCGGGTATTTATTTACTGTAAAATGAACTCAATGGAAAAAAAATCAATTTTATATATCTGCCGCCACAGCTTAAACCATCATTATTTATTCTAGTCGGTTCACCACCTCTAGAACCCATTTAAGTATTTCAGTGACCTGATAAAACGTTTCCCATATATATATATATATATATATTACTGTTTCCGCCTCATATCATTCTCATGCATTTTTATCTCCTTCCTAACAGTGACAACCAAATACACACGTGATTTGGTTAATACCGTCTTATGGTCACCGAAGAGTGTAACGGATTGCTATTTATCAAAAATACCTTTTTTTAAAAAACCAATGACAATAAGCAAGATGTTTTATTGAATATGTGTATTAAAACGTATGAGTATGCTGAACATAAATGTAACTTTGAATTTATGAATTTTCTATTAAGAATGATTGCATTCAGTTAAAAAACATACAAAGGCTCCGGCTCGACGCTAATTATTTTAAGTTAATTTTACCTTTTAGAATATAATTATTTTGTATTACGTTTTGTTTAAGAGTTAAAAATATTAATAACACAAAAAGTTGAATAGTCTTCTTTATTATTATATTATTTTCAAAAAAAAGGTGTGTTCATTAAATACATTTTACACTTTACAAATTATACAATTTATTTGTGGTTTTTTTTTTTTGTTCTTGTTTCCCGTACCATAATTTATAATATTTGTTTTGTTCTACTTTTATTATGCTAAAATAACGACTTCCTGGTAGCTTTAAAATGCTATAAAAACGGTTGTTTCAATATTTACTACTCCGCATTTATTAGTGTTACTCGCGGTACACTAGAACTGTTCAAAACATATATTTTTTTATTGGGATCAGTCCATAAGTTATTTTAAAGCCAACGCACGTTAAAACCACACATACATTATATGTTACAACTTATATAGTGGAACACGACGTGTGTAATAGTATGTCCACATTTTTAAGGGTTCCCGACAAATCCAGTTTACATAATATATGAGAATAAAAACAATTACCTGTTACACATTGAAAACGGCTAAAATGGCTTAAATTAAGTGTTGTTAACTTCTGCGTAATGTGAAAATATTATTGTTGTTTATTATTTAAAACCAGAAGTTTCCGTTAATTCTTGTCGAGTTTTCTAAGATACTTTAAAAAGTACACAAGTGCAGTAAGAATAATAAAAATTATTATTTTTATAATATTTACCAACAACTGCAACACAAGCTTAGAAAATAAACCTCAGGTTTTAAAAATTAAACCTTTCCTTCTTTTATTCTTTATTGTTTTGAACTTTTGAAATGTATAATTAAGATATCTACTTTGTAACTTTTTGACCAGTTTTAAGAATGCATAACTCGTTGATCAAGTTTTATACAAACAAACTTTGTAAAATACAAACATCGTACTCACATTTTGTAAAATAATTATTCGTTTTTTCTGGAACTTACCGAATAAGTTTAAATGGGTAATGCGGTTTTCATTTAAGCTAACAGCACAAAAGCCATTTCACTCATTTTACTGATACTATGCATACCAATTAACAGAATTGTTGGTTATTATCAATTTTATTTTGTTGCTAATATTTTGCAACTCACTCTTTGATTTCCAGTTTTCTGCATACGATTAAAGAAATCCTTGTAAAATTAAATTATAATGATAAACAGTTTAAATAAAATGAAGTGCTCGTATATTGGTATGCTTGAAAACTCCAAGAGAATTGGATGTCGATATTTATAAAGGTCAAATTATGGGACAATATTTGGCCAACATAGGTATGATAATACATTTTGAATCATGTCAAGCTTTTCCATATTAATTATGGTTGGCTTTTTAATATTTTTCCCTCCTAATGATGAATAATATTTGTCGTTGGTAACTACTTTGTGATGTTTTTTTGACTAAAAGCTATACACAATTTTAACTACTTAAAATAGCTCGTTCGTTGGTTTCTTTATAGATGTTTTGATTTTGTTTTATTCCAGGTTATGGCAACGTGACTCCGCGAACTCTTCTGGGCAAGTTGGCCACCATATTGTATGCAATCGTGGGCATGCCTTTGTTCCTACTGTACCTGTCCAACATCGGAGACATTCTGGCTAAGAGTTTCAAATGGATATACGCCAAGTGTTGCCTGTGTCGGGGCTGTAAAAAACGCCGAAAACGCATGTTGGCCTTGCAGCGGAAGGAGCAGTGGAAGGTAAAAGGCGTCCACGGCAGCGTATCAATACTAAATCAAAAATGACGTTGATGTATTGCGCCAGAACGACACTTAATCTATAGTCGGTTGCTTTTATTTCTTTTCCCATATTTTCTCCGTTCGTCCTGCTCCGGAAGTACGCATAAACGTGTCGGGAGGGGTGTAATTTTCGTTTTCTTTAGCGTTATGATTTTCTTTTTTCTACAACATACGTTCGGGGTTTTTTTATTTATTTATTTTTATACAGATGGATATGCGGGACTTTAAACTCAATATAGGCGTACTCACCGAGGGCGAGGAGAGCGACGACGAGGGCACCACCGACGGAAGTTCTTCGTTGAGCTTCAACGACACACAAGAGGTTACCGTGCCCATTTCGCTGTGCTTAACCATAATGGTCGGGTGAGTGTACACTATGTGCGCGTATTTGAAATATTTTCAGATTAATTAGCAAAGCAGAACTATCACGGAAAAATTGGCTTTAAAAAAAGAAATCGTCATTAAACGTATTTAAAAATAATTATGCTTATTCTCATCGAGACTAACGAACTATATGATACAAATTTGGTGGAAATTTTACATACATGTTCTACCGCAGATTAAGTAAAACCAGTAAAACAATCGATTTTCAAATCTCGACATATTTTATCTGGTAATCTTAAAAATTATAGTGCTATTTACTTTTAATAATAACTTAACAAAAACTATTAAAAACTAAAAATAAACAACTATTTATTCTAACTAAAAAGTGTAGTTTTTCTAGTAATGGGACGAAATGAGCTGAACATTTACATACAAAATTATCTACGTTGCATAAAAAAATAACAATATGTACTGTCATAAAAAGTACAGATAAAAATAATTGTATTTACTATAAACTTATGAATAAACACTCATTTTGGCTTTAAGTTCTATTTGATTCTGAACCAATGTTAATTAACTCGAGACGAATATTACAATTTTTTACGTGTAGGTACGTGAAATTAAAAACTTTTTAATTTCTATAAAATATTATTACTGTTGTTGGGTAATAGTAAACTTAAAAATACATTAGACTAATGAGTCGAAAATATGATTAGTAAATAGGTTTTCTATATGTTTAATATTAAAATTGTACAAAAATGTTTTATTTTTATTGTTGAATGTTTTTATGAATAATAGAAACCGTTATACAGTTACAATCACACGAGTTGAAATGCGGTAGTCAACAATTAAAACAAATGTTTATTCAGCATTAATGAGTCTACCGTGACCGATTGGTTCGAACCAAATATTTGTATAATGCATGTGATAGTCGTTTTGATTCCCAGTAACTGTTTGTACATTCACGAAATTTTAATGAAAATTAATTTGAAAAGCTATCAATATCAATAAAAATCTAAAATGGTAGCCGTACAACCAAAATATTCAAACAATATAAAATGTGTAAGCAACTGAAGTATAACGAACATTAAAAACAAATTGTCCACTAATAGTCTGTTTGAACGTAAATGTCCAAAATGTCTTAAGTAATTTGTAAATTATCGAATTATGTTTTTACTTAATTTTAAAGATTTAGAGTAGTAGTGAAAAAAAAAATACATAATTTCTAGCAAAAAAATATATATTTAGAAAGAATACTATTCTAACATATTTTATATAAAAAAATCATGTTTTGTAGTCTCGTGTGCCCAATTATTTTTAACAAGCATATATTATTATTTTCAATCATATTTTCGGCGTATTATAAATTTATTTTAGTTATTATAATATTATTTTTATTTTATATAGAATACAAAAAAATTTGAAATTGTATTTTTACTCTTAACAATGTCTAGGATTTAAAACAGTGTATTTGACTTGCATTTTTAACATTTTGTTTTTTTTTTTAAAACAATAACTAAAACATTAAAAAATAATATAATATATAGCAGTTCATATTTCCAATACTTCGAACTCATCTTAAAAAATATATACATATTTTTCAAGCAATTATTTTTAGATACTTAAGATCGGAATAACGATAATAGTTTTAATATTTGATAAAAAAAATTTGGAATGTGTTATGAAATAAAATATAATATATTGAGTGAAACAGAGTAAGAAAGAGCAGATAATCTTGACGTATGTTATTAAGTTGTCAGCAATGACGGATTTTCGAAAAATATATGTCGTGTAGAAATTATAACACACCAAAACTGTGTAATTTCGATGAACATAATATAAGATAACCCATTTTTAGACAGAATGGCGCTGAACCATCACGTCTAGGGTCGGGGACACACAGGTAAGACATACCATTATTATGAGCGTTCAAGAGCTAGGCATCGAATATTCGGTTATTTTATTAGCCCCCCCTGCTTCTACATACAATATTAAATACTATTTATCGTACACGTCATATGAGTTGATTTATGTCAAAAATAATTAATTGTTAACTTACTTAATGTATCACTACATACATAAATGTTAAAACAGTAATTATACATACGGTTATTATAACATCTAATTAACCCGTCGGTGGTCGCGTTAAATATTTCTACACCGTTGGTTGCAGTTTATTTTGTTTATCGGTCATATTGGTGTAATACGATGAGTTCTAAAAAACAATAGAATATATCGTTTGGTTTTTTTTTTTTTTAGACAAATCGCAAATGATAAGTCTGGTTATTGTTATCGCACGCGTGATCCGGTTTAAGACGTTTCGAAGAATTTTTCTGCTTAGTCCGGGAGAAATATGATAGTATCCTCCTCTATATATTTATATATATTTATTTATATAGGGTCTAGTGAAATATCGTCGACCCGTTCCGTTCGACACGTTATCCCGGGAATCCCCAAGGACGAACTATCTTCTACTTGCCGGCCGGTCGTCGCTGTTGTCTCGAGACGTTTCACAAGCCGCATATGAAATCTACGGGAAGTAATAATATTATATGTCCCGAGACGACGACAAGAAGCGCGTTTTTCAATATAAATTATTTTCAAGTCGAAAGAGGTGGTTTTTTTTTTTTTATTCTGTTTGTTTATATTGTTTGTGTTTTTATTATTATTTATTTTGTTTTTTTCTTCATCTTCCTGTTCCACCTACTACTCGACGGTGGATCGAGATAAAGAAGCGGGCGCGTGGCCCTAAGGAAAGGAAACGAAAGCGCGCGGATTCCATATATATATATATATAAATATCTATTTATTCTTGCTCGGCAAAGGCGTTCGTCGAGACTGATTTATGGCCACCCGATTCCATCCCCGTGGACCGACCAAGGAGTTTGTACGCGATGGAAACTCCACGTTCGCGCTGGACCTTATCGACAATGGCGGAGAAGGGGGGGGAGGGTTGAGGATACTAAAAACCTTAAAACATAAAATTAGCGCTTTTCAAAATACCTATATTTATTTTTTAGCGAGAGATTTGATGAAATAAAAATAAACGTAGCACGAATTTTTAAATTCTAAGGTTTTTAGAATCCCCCCCCCCCAATCTCGGTCAATTTAGACTTAAAATCCCGACAAAATGACGCCTACTTATAAGGTTTGGTAAAATATTTGAGGTTGACCTGTCTCTTCCTTCTTGAATCGATTTTTGGTATTTCAATTAAATATATGTTAAAATCTTATTTTGATCTCTCAAATGTTTTGTACTTACTTTGCTGTTTTTTTTTGGTAAGTAAATGAAAAAGTTATTCAAAAGTCGACCTCCACGATAACCTAGAAAAAAGGCCGATGAGCTCAAACATTTTTAAAGAATTAAAAACCGATCATTCTAAGTAGGTGTAATTTTGTCAGGCTTTTAGGTCTAAATTCGCCGAAATGGCTTAAACTCGTAGAAAAAATATTTTAACCTTAAACTGATACCCTGAAGCTTATACATTTTAACCTGAAAATAAGTTGATCTTGGTCAAAATGTATAAAAAAACTTTTTCATAAAATATTGCCTATATTACAAAACTCTTTGAAAACCGTTGGCTTTCAATCCCCTTAACACGAGGAGGGTAGGAGAAAAGTGAAGTTATATATTTTTTTATTTTGGCATTGATGGCCAAGTGTAGCTACACAAGCAATGTCGCGAATAAATTATTTTAACTTCGTTAGCTTAAAACCAACCATTAAGCTGTTACATCGAAAATTAATTAAAAAATAGCGAACAAAATGATAGTTTTAATGAGTGCATTAACATACATAATTCGACTTAGTAAAGTTTTACATATTTTATGATAATCGTCGCTCGAAAAATATAAAATATAAATTTTGTTTTTTGTTTTTAATGAAATGCTTACAGACAATTTTCTGGTGTATAAAAATATGAGTTTACGCATTCATTACTTATTGTTAGTATTGTACAATAACGATATTAAAACTAAACAAAAACAACAATCCTTTCGATTTTTATTTATTTGATTTTTCTATTTATTTTAAAAGTACTGGTGAATTCCATTTAGATCGAATAAACAGTTTTAGCAATAATTTAAACTATACTTATCTTCAAAAACAAAAAAATAGTTCTATATTTAATAATACTATGATTAGTAATTATTTAATAGTACTAACATTTGTTTCATAATAACCTTATTATTTTCTTTTTAATTAACTGTAACCAATTTATTGAACAGGCATACACCACGTTTCCATGTACAAATTATTTTGAACAAACATTTACATATGTTTGCCGAGAAAAATGTATTTAGAACAAGCTTGTTTTTTGCCTGAATTTATTATGTACTGTAAAACGGGCTTGTCAATTGCTTTTTAATGGTTTTATGTCGACACAACTCATTTTTTTCCACGAGAAATGCTGGAAGTCGATTATACAACCAAACGATATTAAAACTTTACACGAAATCGGGTACTATGTTCATAAATTGTACTGAAAAGAAAAACATAAATACAAAATTGATCTTTAAGCGTCCACATTATTCGAGTACTTTGCAAATAATTTTCCAAGTGTTTGCCCCGGTTGGTTTTAATCACGTCTTTAGCCTTTAGTGACCTCCTGGTATGCCTACATAATATTCAATAATACACAAAACCTTTTCTGCGGTATGAAGTTCCAGCTTTTAATCAACTACACAAAAACGACTACCGTAACCCGCGTGAATAAAGTATACCCAAGTGCACTACGATTGAAAACTATTATTTTCATTATTTAATAAATGTATTATATTTTTTATAATACTCGCTAGGGACGACCGTAACTATAACGGTAAATCACGATTCCGCGTTTTTCTTCGATTAGATTTCTTAATTAAATACAATGATAAAAATAAATCCACCCGACTAGACTATTTGAATTTTATAAGTTGATTAAACTACTCAATAATAAAATTCGAGAAGGTAAAACGTGCGAACTTTGTAGAGTAATTCGTACACAGTGAATTGTAAAAATGTAATAGCTGTGGTAGATTATATTAGAACAAGATTAAGTAGTCAGCCGACTTTTAGTTTTATTTATTTATCAAGCAAATCATCGTTTAAGAGCCGTTGAATTTATAACCAAAATCATTTATCAGCTATTTCAAAATTTATAGCATACATAAACAACTTTATTTTAAAAAAAAAAATAATAAATATAAAGTGAGCTGCACATATTTTGTATTGCCGGTCGACACAGCATACTAATCAATCGCGTTATTGACATAAACACATACAATTAAGTACTTCATTTAAAATGTTAAAACAAAATAATAAGTTAAATCTTTATACGAATTTAAACCATGTGATTGACGTGATTGATATTTCGGCAACTTCTAGTTTTGACGTGAATAAATGGTTCAAAAGAACGAACCGAATATTCTGAACAATATTTGTTTTTATGTATTTTATATTTCATAAACAATATTATAATACGTTTGAAGGGGAAAAGGTTCAGCGATAACCAAAAAGATATTTCAGCGACTGGAACCTCTGCGATAACGTCCGCATAAGAAATATTATTATTTATTGTAGTCCTGATAGTACTTGAGTGACCAAGACTTCGACAGCGACAGCTCTGATTAAATTTCAAACCTTTTTTTATGGATGTAATTATTTTCGAAAAATAAATAAATTTGTTTTAAACGATGGAAAAAAAACAATATTTAATTAATTTTTTTATATAACTGTAAATTTTTCAAAAATCTTAGTTTTACTAAATTAAATTTTGATCGCCCGCTGATTAATATAATAACAGACATTTAGTAGAACAATACCGGCCGACAAGCAAGAGGTCTAGCCCAACGGCGTTCAAGTTATGCAATATAGCTACACCGGTGTATTGACGTCAAAACATCTCATTCAATTTTAACAAGGGTTTTAATTTTTAAAAAAAAATCCACAACAACTCAGCGACTAAATCAGTTGCTGTAGACGACGTTTGACAAGAAGTCTGTATTTAATTTATTATGTTCAATAACTTGATGGAACAACTCCTTAGATAAAAATAATTGCTTCTCCGTCTGTACAACGCCAGATAATAATATGCAAATGTGAATTAACAGCTAATCGATTGTTAACCGCAAATATTTTTGTACGTTTCATTCCTTATAAATTACAAGTGCAGTTAATATAATATATATATTATTAGTTAAGTAGATAACTCAGTACTTTTAGGCTATACCTCAGTAATAGTATAACACTCATGCCTCTTATTGAAACACATCACTAATGATCTACTTACTTAGAAATATACTCGTTAGTTATTGACAATTGAAACGTTTAACACAGTAACTTTAAGTATAATCTCGGAGAGCGTGCAAACATTATAGATTTGAAGTTATACAGTATATCTAATTAAAATTAATTATTTGTTTTCAGATATATATCAGGAGGTGCAGTTTTGTTCTCCAAATGGGAAGACTGGGAATTTTTCGACGGTTCTTATTTCTGTTTCATATCGCTGAGCACAATTGGTTTTGGCGATTTTGTCCCAGGTAGCAATATTACCGGGCCCGGCACAGGTTCTGGTCCTATACAAGGGGTCGAACTGAGTTTCATACTTTGTTCCATGTACCTCATGCTAGGAATGGCGCTGATCGCCATGTGTTTTAATTTGATGCAACAAGACGTTGTAATGAAGATCCGAACGTGCACGGACATTTTAAGAAGGATTACCAGGTGTAAGAACTAAAACCACTACAAACGCCTATCCGGTCAAATCAGCTAAGTAGGTGATGTTGTCGAAAGCAGATCTACTGAAAAAAGTAATTTCAATTCGAAAAGTCTACCTGGATTTTCCGTATAAGCTGACTTATTGGTCTAAATATTTTACAATATTGCATGTTATTGCACGACCTAATGAAATTCCTTTGACGATAATACTATAACACCCGAAGGAAACCAGCAATTAAGGTATATCCGATACCGCATGAATATATAATACGCACTGCGTACGCTCATTCATTGGATTTAGACGACATACATAATATTATAATGATATTGTATTTTTTTTGTACTATACTTTGTTACATGTATATAAATGTTAAAATTGCTGTGTATTGTATATTTATTTGCTTGTTTTGTGTATGTAAATTGTAAATATAAATTCTTAACTCAGTTGAATCATTTTTACCGTCAAAGATGTGTTTAATCAGTTATTTGAACGACTATTTTACAACTCTACAAAAATGAAAATGCGCATTTTAAATGATTACATTTTTATTTATACATAAATCTTATTTTTTTATAAAACAATTATGCTACTATCACTCTGCAGATACAGTTTCAATAGGTATGATATTTTGGTCCAATTCCAAACGACTCTTTCGCTCTGAGACTTATTGAGAATAATAATTCCAAACCAAACTTAACAAAAAAAAATTGAATTCTAGTTAATCTACTCTTAAAATTTAGAACCACGTGCAATTTAACACTTATGTTCCTCAACTACCAAAACAGTTTCTTATTTAATCTTAAATTATTTTGTTTGTATGATATTTTTAAGTTCTGACGTCTAATACTACTATATGATATGACTTTTATCATCACTTTTGATAACTAGCACAATATGCGTTTAATAAAATGATCTATTATCTACAATTTTGTTCGTTTTACTTAGGAGGAAAAAAATAAATAAATCACGCATGGTGTAGGCGCTTTTAGATTTTTAACGGATTTGTTTTTTCTTGTTTTGAATTTCTTCTCGAGCCTACCATTTATAAATCTTAGATAATCTTGTAAAAAACATTATGTTATCGAATTACTCGTGTTTTACAAAAAGGTTTTCTTAACTTCATTTCGGTATGTTTTATCATAAGCACCGAAGCGCACATAACAAGCCATTTACGTGCTACAAAAATAAAGTGCCTGTAAAACACAATGATAAAAAAAAGAAAAAAGAAAAAAATGAATCCGCCAAGAACAGAACACATTTGCCAACGCTAAAATTACGTGTCCACAACAGGCGAAATACGATCACTATCCACTTTATTACAACCGTTTTTATGGCTCTTTATCGCGGTCACGTCTGAATTCACTTCTGGGTCTCAATATATGTCAAATGAATCCACCATACTCCGGAAGGTATATTAAACAGCTGTTGTGCTCGCATCACTTTACCTTGGTCGATGAATTTTGGGCATATCTAGCAACGTTTCCAAACGAGAAAATGCAATAACGTTAAAACAATTTAACACACACACGCGGGCAAACAGCTGCACGTACAAAACTGTATAATTAAACAAACACAAATAAAATTGTTATTTCAAATCCAAAAAAAATAACAACCCAGCCTAGCCCAAGACAGTGAACCCCAAACATTGCTTCCCATTTTCTTAAATGACAATAAATATAAATAATTTTACTTAATACGCTACGGTTTTATGATTAGGTTCGCACATTTTGCTGGGTTAGTGTACATGGCAACAAAATATTACACAATATTATTACTTAAGCAATTCTTATGGCTACATAACTGTTAATGTTAGTATTTATTTAGATGTGTATAAATTATTTTGGTGTTAACTCGTTTATAAAACATTTTATGACATTTTTATAATCTATTTTCATCTAAAAATTTGTAAGCATTAAACATTGGTATTAGGTACATAACGTTATTTTAATTTCGTTCGTCAAATTTAATATGTTAAAATCGAAATATTTTTGATGCTGCAATAAATACAAGTTAAATCTTCGCTTTTATAGAAACGCCTGCTATTTTTGCGCATTGCACAAGATATACTCATTACAGACTGCAAAGAATGGAATTGAGTGTAATGTATAAGTGATATTAAAATAATAGCACCCAGGACAGAGCAGCGAAAATGTAATTTATCAAACTGACGAATGGGATACACGGTTTTAATTATGTTTGCTCTACCTACCATTCCAACGGTCCCCAAGCCTGCAGCAACGGCACGGCGTCTTCATTGAATTGTTTAGATAACTAGACTGAGTGCATGAACATTATAATAATAAATTTAGATCAGCAATAAAACAAAACAAAATACTACTCTCGTTGGTCGCTGTGCATATTAAAAAATATCTTAGTTTTACGACGAAATTTCAAATAATAATACACAAAACGAGAGCCGCTCGTATAACATAATATATTATAATACATTTTATGTGTAGGTATAATAATATAATATGTTCATATGATTTCCTTTTTACACTCCTGTCACAACGTATATACCGTCAGCACAAATATTAGCCAGACTTTCAAATCCTTTAAAATGTCCAAGCCGGTGGTTGTTTTACACACACAAGCGAGCGTCGTTGGACATGCACATTAAGTTTTTCTTAAGGGTGCATTCATAAATAATGGTTATAAAGTTTTGCACAGAGTGAAATCTAATGTTAACCATAAAAATAATGCTACCGTTATATTATACTATTGATCTATTTATATCTTCCTCTTGAGCTTTTTACGGTCCTTGAAGGAACTTACAATCGTATGCATGCCTTAAGTCAATAAAACATATGTGGGCATCCTTCCCGTACTCGTAATATTTGTCTAGTACTTGTCTGATTGTGGAGGACTTTCCTGTTAAGAAGTTACTTTGATAGTCTCCGATTACATCTCTAGAGTATACTTCTAAATTGTGTAGTAGTGCCACTTGCCAGTGATTACTTGTATCCATTGGATTGCCCTTCTTGAATGCAAGACAGATGATAACTGGTTTTAAGTCTTCGAGTACCTACTCAGTCTGTACTCCAATTTTTTTTTATTAGTATATAGGCATTTTGGTCACAAATTGTAGAGTGCCTATTTTTAGTAGTTCATCATTGATATAATCTTCACCGGGGGCTTTTTATTATTTGAGGTTTTAATTTTATCTTCTATTTCTTCACATTATGGCTCATTAACCCATGAGCTCTTAACTTCGGTTGTGTTTTCCTTGTTCTATTTATGCGTTATAGAAAAAAGTCGCTATCCGTTACATAGAACTCGTGTATTTGTTTGTATGTATACTCACATTATAAAATATAACACTATATTATTAAGTAGCGATTTTGACGGCAATCTGCCGGGGGTGGGGGAGGGGGCGGTAATAAATAATATTTATCATATTAATATTATAATATATTTGATGTTATATTTTAGCAACTGTTAGGCAACGAAACGACAGTGACCGCGAAGGAGCGACGAGGCGGACAAGGTATTACTTTGAACGATGCCGAGATGCGGATGGATCAATATAATATATATTATTACAGTCCATAAGAACGACGCAAAGTTATTAATTACGGATCCAATTAAATCATCATTGTCACCGCTCTCTGTGTCCCTATAACCGCCACCGCCAACTCTACCACCAGCTCCAACGCGTTCTCGTTAACCTCGCAGACTGATTAGCTCGGCCCGGTTATTAATTATATATCACCCGAAACCGTTTAGCGCATTATATTATACGTGGCACTATGCGATACTGCGGTCCAGGAACACAATCAATTAGCTCCATAACAGTTGACAGATTTGGCCAATTTCAAGTTTATAGACAGTTCTATAAAGCCTCGAAGGCCATATGCAATACACGTGTTATATTATTGTTAGCGAAAACAGACTATTACAACAGTTTATTAAAATCATTTCTACCTGTATTCACACAATATAATATAGTTTATATTCTATAACTGTTCATTCATCAAATCTTGTCAATAAAATAAAGTCTATAAAAAAAAGTCGTATACAAGTTTATAATGCTGCATACAAAATACAAGCATTCATTGCTATATATATAGTATATATATTTTAAATGATGGCAATTCAATATTCCGAGACAAAATTAAACAAAATAGAGTCCTTTTACACGAATGGTGTTCTTTTATAACTGCAAGATTTTAAACAGCGCTTAAATTATTAACCCGCGATCGCTGCAATATTAATAGTATCATGTCTTCACTCTTCGTTGATAATTATATAGCGATGATGTCCGATAAATAAGCTTAGAAACACAACACGTCGAGCTGAAATACTGCACTGAGGCAAACTTACAATTTAAGTGTTCGATGTCGCGTGGAATTACAACCAACAAAATGATAATACAAGTTTACTATGGAAACATAATATGTATGTTATCTTAGTCTATGCACTCTCATGCAGTGGCGCAATTTATTTGCCAAAATTTGTCCTAATTCTTATATTCTTGGAGTATACACAATTATATATATGCTTGTCTCAGAGAAATGTACCTTCTTGTCTCAATTTTTACAAACAACGACTTTCAATGCTTTTGGCTTCAAACTGTCAACGTCATCTACATGTATTCACAATGACACTTACTTTACGGTTTCTGTATACTAAAACAAGTAAATAAACTATAAAAAAAAACAAAGTCAAAGCAGCACCAAATGCCACCTTGCCTTGTTTGTCCATCAATAACGTGTGTTGTTTTGGTATTTTCACTCTTCTCATTGATCAACTCATGGGAAAACATACATCCAACAACAGCGGAACACACTCAATAGGCAGATACACGTTTATATAAGTCATAATTAATTTAACAAAAACAATATTAAACCACCCCATTCGGCGAAATCGTTTTACAGGAAAGTTCTTTAGAAACCAGGTTTGATGTTTTATTTACTTATTAATTGCAACTAAAAACATTTGTTCAACTTCATTGTCTACACAGTATTACATATTGTAATCATTGTAAAGCTTAAAAGTTTTATCAGCCTACATAATACATAACTCTCTCGGGAGCTTGTAAAACTGGGTAAATGAAATATTTATACAAATTTTGCGTTTAAAATATTCTCACATCAAATTAACTATATTTTAAGGTCAAAAAATAACCTGCACAATACATTTTGTAAACACTTATTCGTTTTTAGTTATTATTCAAATTTACCACTAATCAAGATTAGACTTAACTAATAAGTAATAGTCTTATGTATGTATTGCATTTAAAACAACACCAAAAAATTTGAGATAAACTTAAAACATTCATATTTTATTTTTGTAGAGTATTAAAAAACTATGGGTACCTACTTAAACAAAGTTTAAATTTAAATTCAAATTCAGTACCACGGGACTTTGGGGAAATATACAGCCCACAGGAATGTTTATATTTTGTTTTTTAAATTTCTTTAACACTATTATTTGTATTACTGCTACG